TCTATTTTTATTACTTATATTATGTGATTAAATGAGCATTTAAGTCAGCAGTCAATACACTGTCTAAGAATAAAGACTGCAGCTAATCTATAAGTCTGAAGCGTCTTGGCATTTAGAACATAATATACTTATATTTAGTAATCCATTTACCATCCCTGCAGATTGATATCGACTGTAAAAATGTGTATTATTGTATTAAATTAATTATAGATTTCAAATAATCGTAGCAAGTCAGCAAAAGTTACTATATGAAATCATGTAACTGAAATCATTAAGGGTTCTGTTAATGTCTATGTAAACAGAGACGCACGCTGATCCGGATTAATTTACTTCATATGCCACCAGCGATCTAGCATGTTCAAATTGTATACGTCAGATGATCGCTTACGATATTGAAAATTAATAATATTAGCTGATCAAAAGATAGAGACAACCGTTTGATCGATAACGACTAGCAAGACAATTAACACAAGGATAACAGCATTTCTAATTTTGATGTGACAGAATTCTCCCTATTATAACTTATATTTGACGAACCTCACTATTATAGTTGAAGTCTTATTGTACCGTCGCTAGCAATCAGCTTTATTATCAGGTGATAATAAAATTTTATCGTTTTTTGTTTTGAATAACCTGTTTTTTTATGTATATATAACGGACACACAATCGATTGATCCGATAAGGCAAGTGTCACCATAATTATGGCACTTTTAATTTTATCCAACCATAATAATAAACATGTACAGTATATATCTCTTACTATAATAAGTTTGGTATTTGAATCGGGAGACACATAACGTATTACACTGCAAGTTTTGATTAGTTAAATAGCTCTTTACATTCAAAATTTCTTGGTACATTAAATCACGTGCTTATATAAGCCGGGCGCAATATTAATTAATATTAATATCGTTCCACTTAGATCAATAGAACACAAGGGTCACAGACACGAGCTTCATCATGTGATAATTTCATTGTTTGACAAATAACCCTGTCTATGGGACTAAAAAAAACTAATTGATACTAATACTATATTTTAGATTCAAACTCAACTCTTCTAGCTAAAAAAGCACAACCGTACGGAAACCTGACTGTCAAGTTACAGCTTCCTACGTAAAGGGAAAGTACGAGATTACAGAACGATTATGCATACGAATTAGCCACCAGGGCTTAGCTTTATTGGTATAAAATGCAAAATAAATTTATTCCGGATCGGAAGATACTGTAGAGCTTCTTCTTCGTTTTTGTCGCTCTGATCTAACTATTGGTGCATGCAATAGCAAAGAAATATTGACAATCATAATATTTCGTATAAGCAGCAATGTCTCTACAAACTGCAATACGTGGTCTCTATCAGTCGGCTGTACGGGAATTTCGACAGACGATAAATGGTAAAGCCGATCAATATTATCTGTATCCCTAATAAGAACGTTAAAATACATCATTTCCTCAGCAACTTGGATTCCGAGGATCCCGAACTCGTTCTTATCAGGTTTGTAGCTAGGGTGTATGTAAGCCATTCCATCGTTCATTTCTCTCCACAACTTTACCTCATCCATTTCCTTTTTGCTTTTGCGACATACTAAACGTGAGCACTCTACAAACATAAGTTCATACAACCTGTCATCATACTTTTCAATGAACATAACATCAGGCCGTTTGCCTTGTTTCCCTTCACCTCTCCTGTGTGCACTCGCTACACTCTGTCGCTCCGCACTGAAAAAAAAATCTTGAAATTACTTATCTATTGATAACGGCGTTTTGTGGTTTCAACAAACTCACATGCTAAGTAAATTAGTTCCTCCAGTTGGAAGCCCTTTCAATGTGGCCCGATGAAGTGGAACCACTACACTTCCTGCCACGTATGTTCCCTCACTCTGTGCACTTGCAAGATCAGGTCCAAATGCGGGATTCTTCCATATATTATCTCTTCGAGACAAAGTTAGTATAATCAATGAAGGAGTTTTTCTATGAAAACAATTACCTACAGAGTATTGAGGATTTCATCCGCAATCTTAACTAAATCCTCTTCTGATTCTTTCCAGGTGTTGTCATGGCTAAGTTTCTCTGGCAAGGTATCTAAATCTCTACAAACAAAATTCTCCACAAATTCGTTGCATTTTGTCTGAATCATATCAGGCACAATTGCTTTCATTTTCTCCGCCGGTTCCATAAAAGAATCATATTCGGTTTTATCTAATTCTTTCACGATATCTGCATCGTCACTTACTACCTGACTACCAAGTGGGTCCTTCCACGTCAAATCAGATAAGGATACTTCTTTTAAATTTTGACGCAATCCTTCAGCATGTAAAGATTCACTCCTCTAAAAATTTAACATTTGTATAAGTACTTCATACTAAGAGAAAATAGATTTCTAATAAACCTACTGTAAGTTTCTTCTCCAAGTCACTCATATTCTTCTTAATTTCTTTATCGCTAAGAGGATGTATTGACATTTCCAGATCACGAAGACTACAAACGCCTTCAAAAGCAACATCAAACTGGTGCAAAATATAACATAATATATATATTAGTGTCATGTTAACAATATAACACTTTTGGTATCACGAGCTCGTGCCATCAGTATATTATAACAAAGTTACTATCTCTGCGCGGCCTACACATCATAAGCAACTTTGCTTCCACATATAGATTTTCATAACTTGCTAGACAAAAGCCAGAGTACCACTCAATGCGTCCTTGGAGTTGAATGCCAGTACTAACAGAGCTAACAGGTACCCAGAGTTACCCCCATGTTTTTGGTCATGGAGTTGAATCCAAGACTAACAGGTTATATATGGGTTTCCCCATTTGACCCAAGCCTATGCAGGTCTAAAAACCCAACGATATTCTCGCTTCATCGGAATGCACCAATCATCATACGGTACCAGTTATTACATATTATTCTACAAAGTTTATTTACTCACTTGTATAGCAATCTTAAGAAGTTTATTCTGCGCGTCTTTATCACGAGGATATGCGTCTGAAATTGCTGTACTGACTGCATCGTTCACTATCCCTCTTAATGTTTCTTGATCTATCCACGGTTCATCTTCCATAATTTGTAAATAACGGAAAAGGCGGTAATATATCGTAATGGAGAAGTTGTAAGAAAGTTATAAACTTTTTCAAAAAATCCACCGGACATGTTTTTATATAAATAAACGTTGGGTAAGAAGCAAAGAGACAAGTAATAACTTCCTCTGCTGTCCTTTTTATAGCGTCTTTGCATATTATCTTTCTGGTTTTATTGAGGCGATATGTGAAAAAAAATTTTTTTAAATTTTTCTTCTTTCTGGTTTTATTGAGGCGATGAAAAAAATTTTTCTCTTTTTGGTTTTATTGAGGCGATGTATGAGTTTTATTGAGGCGATGAAAAAATTGTTTCTCTTTCTGGTTTTATTACGGTGGGATTTTACCAAAAATGGACGGTATCGACCGCTCCTCCCATGTTAAAGAACTGTCGATCAAGGTTTCCTTAACTTACACCCCGAGTGTACGGAAAATTCGTACACCAGGTGTTTTACGGTTAATGTGATATATTAATATTGAAGACCATGGTGGACAATCCCATATTTGATAATGCACTACTGTGGCGCGATTTCAAAATCTTTTTATACAGTTTAGACTATCCATATTATCAAAAAATCACCAACCAAATTAGTAGACAGAACGACAGACCTTTGAAAAGTTTACAAGTTGTTGATATTTGTGAAGTTGACTTCTTTTAATATCATATATATAACCAATTCTTGTCTTCATACTACAAAATTATAAACTTGGCAAGCTGAAATCTGATGGCAGGTAACTCGGAAGAACAACTGTTGTTTCTCGGTTTAGGCAAATCTCCAGTAATTAAGAGCGTACTAGAATATTTCTTCTCCTTCTCGAGAAATTATAAGGGTCTTACATCATTATGATAAATGTTATTCGTCAGAATCATTGATATCTCTAACAAGATTGCTAATAGATTTAGATTCCTAAGTATCACTGTATCCATTGGACGGTGTGAATCAGGCATCAATGGTCATAGTCCGCCTATAACATCGTATAGTAAATCTCTATCGAATTGCCTGTCTCTAAAAGGCAGTTCCCGGTGGCCATCAATAATGCCAAAAAATATACGTCTGATTTCTTTGTAAATTTGAAAGACTTCCGGTGCTATTGTATGTCAGTTCAGGATAATACAGGAGAATTGGTAACAATACTTCGACAATAATAACATTACCTTGGCTGCTGCTATATAACTAATTAATATTTACACTATAAACTGCCCGATGCTTAATTTTATATGGCTTTTAATGAAACAATCAATAGATCATTGTGGAGTGAGGTCATTAACCAAATATTCTATGAAAAAATTATACGCTTGATTCGAACGTTCCCGAATTTGATCTGTTCGGATAGCAAAATAGCAACACTGACATGTAAGTTTACACATAAGCGGCTTAGTTTGAGATCGACAAAATATACATGATTAATACCGTACAAAATTTAGGAGGTGGCGGAGAGCAGGCGGGTTTATACAACTTTTGGTTATTGACATCAACATATACAATTAAAAACATCAGTCACTACATAAATTAGTTAGATGATCTATGACTATATTCGAGATATTCAAATAACTCTAATAGATCAAGACTCTTTAATGATATAGATGTTACCCGTAACATTTGAAATCGTGGCTTATAATATGTAATGAAACACTCGTCAATGGATGTGTCTCTTGTACAGTTAGATACATACTGTGAGACAACATGCCCAAGAACTTGATACAGTGATTAGACAAGACCGCAAAATATATGATAATTCCGATCTGACATAAATTCCGATCGGACATACAACAGTTATATCGTAACAATCCATTTTATCTGGAAACTGATATAAAAATATAGAAACTCAAAAATGTTCGATAAAGCGGGGTTTATTTATTACTTGATATTTATTAAGCCTATCAATGTAAGAGTGTATTCATCAATAAAATTGATCAAGATTTGTTTGTTGTTTTTTTTTCATTATGTTTTTTAGGACTATTTCTTATTCTCTTCAATTTATTCAAATTGTATACACAACTAGCGTCTATCTCAAAATCGTTTTGATCTTTATTACACTGACGGATAAATTTGTGCTATTAATATTACTATAGATTATAACGGATTCGGCCACTTTAGTACGGATCTACTACAAATTATAACGGAGTCAGCCCACTTTAGTGCGGATCTATTATGAGCTAGCGGACTCCGTTAACAATAGACCAATATGAATATAAGGTAATTTGTAAATCGAAAGCATCTAACGTGTAGATTATCATATATGCTACTCAATTGATACAGTAGCTGGAGGGGTAACCTGAAGAAATGTGCGAACGTAAGTCAGATTATTGCGACAAGTGTTGAGCTTCACAAAAATTTGTTCGTTTACGACAATACACACACGTGCTCGTACAATCAGGAGTTTTTCCAAATTTGGTCGATGCCGATCGTACTTTTTATAAACCAATTCTAGAATTTTCTAGCATTAGGTTGCAGAACACTATTAGTAGTGCTTAGAAAATGTACGACTGTTTTTGTTACAACAAGAAGACACAAGTGAGCAAATAAGACTGTTGAAGATTTGTTGATGGAAGGAGAAGTAGTCAAATGAGACAACAACCATAAAACAATATTTTAATTAAATAATAAATACATATATTAATATTATTATACTGTATATGATCTCATGGTGTTATACGAATTACTATTTTCTCTAAATGCACTTAGAGGGTTTTATATGTAATTTTATTTACTTAACTTTTTTGAACTGGGAATCGCTACATTTTATTTATTTTCCGACTTAATGCATGGCCTGACTTACGGCCTAATTTTATTATGTGGCCTTCTGAAAATAAATATTTCTAATATGTCATAGTAAAGTGTTCTGGGATTGCTGCAATTATTTCATAGATATCTATGCCTGTTTTCGGTTCTCGCTTTGTGATTCACGGAATAAACTTTGATTGGCGAATGATTTGTGCTACCGAATGTTCTCATTACCAATGATATTAAGATCTAACAAAGCGAATAATAAGTGCGAGTCATTGTAATAGCCAGCAACAAACATGGCCTCAAGTCAATCTGATAAGGAATGGTTAAGAAAAAATATTGAAGATGGAAACATTCGGTTTTATTCTTTCGATGACTTTATTGACCAGTTATGCATCGGTGGCGGAGGATATGGAACAGTTTTCAAAGCCAAAGTGAAGTCACTTGATAGAACGGTGGCATACAAACTTTTGCATTCACAAAATGAAGATGAGATGATGGAAAACTTTGTCAAGGAGGTTGGTAATATAATGGCGACTTTATATTTGGATTTATTGCTTTACTTTAACCATCCAAACGATACTTTTAGCTTAAGATTCATCGCAACGTTGATGACCATCCCAACATAATTCGATTCCTTGGAGTGAGTAAAGGTAAGCATTAAGGAGAGTGTTACGGAGCACACTTATTATTATTATATGAGATTAACGGAGACTTAATGACTAGATACGATCAATAGATATGTAATGGTCTTCAAGTACGCTGGCGGTGGTTCGTTACGGTCTTACTTATCGGACCCTTCGGTTGAATTGAACTGGCCTATGAGATGCAAACTTGGTATCAATATCGCTAATGGCCTGGGGCATCTTCATGGGCGCCGTATTATACATAAAGATTTGGTAAATATAGATGTCAAAAACAATATTATTATTATACGTTAGAACCTTCTATAATAATTGACAATTTTATTATTACTTAGTCTTCACGTAATATATTGATTCATGCCGGCGTGGCGAAGATAACAGACTTTGGTTTGTCTGATCTGATTTTACGACAAAAAAGCCATTCAAACATTAAAGGAACCCTTCCATATCTTGACCCCAGATGCTTATTTGACTCTTCTACTAAGCATGATGAAAAGTCAGATATATTTAGCTTTGGAGTGGTATTATGGGAAATCTCTGGCAGAAAGAAACCATGTGATGGACTCCAATATCATAATGATATTTTAAATTATAGACTCAATGGATATCGAGACACTCCAGTTTCAGGAACTCCTGAAGCATATATCACAATATATTCAGAATGTTGGGATGATGCTCCTGAGAAAAGACCATCTTGTGGGCAGATTTCTGATAGATTAAGCATAATAGGTCAACTAGCAAACCATTCGTTTTCTGACGAGTTGTCAAGTAAATGCCAAGAAGAATCATCAAAAGGAAAAAGTCAAGATCAGATTGCTAACTCAATTAAAGACTGGTTAGCACATAATGGATGGTATCAACAGAGTTATCCACCTGTTAAGAGGCTCAAGGATCATGTTGATTGTGGGCAATGTTGTTGGCTACTTGGGTTTTCTTATGAATATGAAATAACAGTTGGAAAGGATCTTAATCAAGCAATCTACTGGTATGAAGTGTCAGCAGAAAAAAATGATGCTTTTGCACAATATAGTCTTGGATGTTGTTATGAAATGGGTATTGGAGTAGAAAAAGATAATAAGAAGGCAGTTGAATTATTTAAAAAATCAGTTGAACAAGGAAATTCTCTTGCACTGAATGAACTTGGTCATTGCTATGTAAATGGAATTGGAGTAGAGAAAGATGTTAAGAAGGCAGTTGAATTATATAAAAAAGCTGTTGAACAAGGAGATGCTGATGCACAAAGTAATCTTGGTTTTTGCTATCAATATGGAATTGGAGTAGAGAAAGATGATAAGAAGGCAGTTGAATTATATGAAAAAGCTGTTGAACAAAAAAATGCTACTGCACAAAGTAATCTTGGTTATTGCTATCAATATGGAATTGGAGTAGAGAAAGATGATAAGAAGGCAGTTGAATTATATGAAAAAGCTGTTGAACAAGGAGATGCTGATGCACAAAATAATCTTGGTCTTTGCTATCAATATGGAATTGAAGTAAAAGAAGATGCTAAAAAGGCAGTTGAATTATATGAAAAAGGAAGTGAACAAGGAAATGCTGATGCACAAAATAGCCTTGGTTATTGCTATCAATATGGAATTGGGGTAGAAGAAGATG